TTTTTCAATTTCTTCCTTAATGACATTTTGAGCAATATAATTTCATTGCTATGGGGCATTTTTAGAGTATTTAGCAATAGCTCTGGCCTCATCCAATAGATACCAGTTACACCCCAGCCTGGATTATGAAAACCCAAAGATAAACTAACAACAAAAACCGTTCTACTGAGGAAAAATAGCAAGCCCTCTTTTATATCCACAAAACCTTGTGCAGTTTTGGCTCAGTCCTTCCTCCAAAAGCTATTGCTGGGCAGCTAGTACCTGCCACTCAAGCCCTGTGTTCAGCAAACCCACACCCAATCCTAGCCACAAGGTTTACTTGGAATCTAACTCCACTCCCCACCTAATGTTTTTTCTTCACTAAGCAAGTGGCTCAAGGTGGCAGTTTCCATTACATCAATTCCTGGACTTCCTTCATAGCACCAATGAGAAATTAGTGAATGGAAAGTATGTCATATGACTAATGATCTCTCCTTCTATATCAGTGGTTCTCAAGATATGGTTGCAACCTGTTTGGGGATCAAACAACCATTTCACAGGAGTCACATATCAGATATCCTGCATATCAGATATTTAGATTATGATTCATAACAGTAACAAAATTGCCATTATAAAGTCGTTTTATGGTTGGGGTCACCACAACCTGAAGTACTATATTAAAGAGGCTTAGCATTAGGAAGGTTGGGAACCACTGCTCTAGACTGAATGCTTTCCCACTGCCAAGTCACTTTTCCTTTGGACTTCATCAGTGCCCTATTGTCAGGGAGATCATCCCAGGATGCCCCATCCCTGCCCTTAGAGTCTTGAGTTCCTTTGTTGTGTCTCTGTGGATCTGGGGACCCTTTGTTTTATGTGCTTGTCTCAGTGTGTAATAGTGTGCCCGGTAGCATCATTGATTAAAGTGTAATTAATATCATCTCACCAACCAGAAGCTTCTTAAAGACAGAGGTGACATTTTTAAAGCAGAAATATCCCCAGTGCCTAATATAAGAGAATAAGCATTCATTTAATGTACATGGTATGGGACAGCTCAAACCAGTCTCAGGCAGAATCTGCCATTTTTTCCCCAGATTGACTTGTTCCTTCCTTTTGTGGCACTTACTTTAACAACAACAACAAACACATCTGTTTTTAAAAAATGAATACAGATACAGAAAGTGTCATAGAATAAATATGTGGTATAATGAATTATTCCATGAAATAAGCTGAAATGTTTTGTATTTGTATTTCAAAAGTGGGGGAGGGACTGAGGTGGATTATTCTTTTGGGGTAGGAGATTTATTAAAGAAGTTATTAACATAACAGACAGCAACATGGCAGAAGTTTGGAGAAGAATTCAGGTCCTATTCTTTTCTTAGCAAGGGGTCTGGGAAGGAGATTGAAAAGTTTCCCTTTTAGGCCATGGTTGGCTGTTGTTGGGAGTAATCAAGGAGTGGTAAGTTCAAGAGTGCAGGTGATGGATAAACATCTACCTTGCTGGATCATGACCGGGGGAATCTTTAAAGATGGGGGGTAAGAATCTAGAGAAACATGTTTACTTTAGTTCTGGAATCCAAACTACCATAGATTCTGTCATTGTCACAGTTCAATCAAAATGGAGGTGGCCTGACAACCACCAGCAAGTCAAGCAATAGAATTTTGTTGCCTCAGAAGCCCATCCAGTATTTGCCCCACTCAAGTTAGCACCCGTGAGTAACCCCTTCCAGGCCTGGAGAGACACTCAGCAGTGAATGCTCCCTGCTCTTGTAGAGGCTTTGAGTTCCATTCCCAGTTCCAACATTTAAGCAGCTCCCACCTGTCTCCAGATCCAACTCCAACTACAGAGAATCTTATGCCATTTTCTGGTCTCTATGAGCACCTGTACTCACACATGTATGTATCCTCTAGCCCCACAAACACATACATGCACATTATTCAAAACAAAAATCTTTACAAAAAAAAAACCTTCATTGAATAAGGCAATAGAAGAACCAGTTCCATGCTAGTGCCATCATAATCATCAGAGGGGCAATCCCAGAGCAACAGACTCTAAAACCTAACCACACCCCCAGACCTGCCCCAGACCACAAACAAAAATTTAGAATTCTGAATTCTGAACTGGGGAGAAAGCACAGTCAGTAAAGGGCCTGCCCCACAACCCTGAAGTTCTGAATTCAGTCCCCACTACCTTGTAAACAGCTGGGTGCTTGCCTTTGTAATCCCAGGGATGGAAGGGCAGGAGCAGAAGGCTCCCTGGAGCTTATGAGCCAGCAACCCTAGCCTAATGGGTGAGTCCTAGATGCCAGTGAGAAACTGTCTTAAAATGAGATGGACAGCTTCTGAATAATGACACTGAGATTGACCTCTGGTCTCCACATGCATATACACAAGTGTACATGAGAATACACACACACACAAACACACACACACACACACACACACACACACACACACACACACACACGACATAGAAAACCTCCACCTGAGATTCTTGTTGTAAAGAAGGATATGTAAAGAGAATAGATGGAAAGATTATGTCCAGAGAAGGGATTGATACATTTTTTGATGGTACTCAGGAAACCTGCAACACATTAGGCAGATGGACACCTAGAAACCTGAGAAAGCATTGTTTCAGGTGTATTAGAGGGTACTTCCCAAAGTAACTAGGGTGTGAATCTGCATGGGCCGAGGTGAAGGTCCTGCATGTAGGCAGTACAAGTGAATGTATTCTCAAAAAAAAAAAAAAGAAAAGAAAAAAGAAAATTAAAGCTTGCTAGTCTAAGCAAAGACAACAGGCTACCCTATAGGTAATGATGCAAGTCTCCAGTTCCTCTGACTGCCTTCCTTCATGAAGTGCCCGAAATCTATCCCTGTAATTAACGTTTTTGTATGTTCGATTTTTTTTTTTTTTTTAGTTGTTTTCGTTTTCATTTCATTTGTGCTGAAAGTTGAACCCAGGTCCTTGTGGATGCTAAGCATGCAATCTACCACTGCTCTATGCTCATCTCTTCCAGCCATTTTAAATTGTTTTCTGTAATTCATTATACTATATATTCCACCTTTGCATCATCTCCCAATTCATTATGCTATATATTTCATATTTGCATTATTTCCAATTCTAGGGATATAGATGGTATACAAGCATTTTCATTTTGTGCATTCCATGAAATTTTGTTCCATTATCGCAGCATTGATTTTGTGTGTAACTATTGTGCTAATGTGTTGAAAATTCCTCAGTAAATGAAGAGATAGATGTACTTATAAAAGATAAAAAATTTCTCCATATCTAAACTCCTTGGGTGACCCTTGGAGGGTTTTGGGTTTTTTTTTTTTTTTTTTTTTGTTGTTGTTGTTGTTTTGTTTTTTTTTTTTTTTGGTCTGATGGTTTTTGTTATGTTTTGCTTTATCTCATCAAGAGTTAGATTGGAGGCTGGAGAGATAGTTCAGACATTGAGAGCACTGGCGCTCTTCTAGAGGACCTGGGTTTTGATTCCCAGCACCCACATAGAACTCACAACCATCTAACTCCAGTTCAAGGTATATGACACCCTCTTCTAACCTCTGGCACCAGACATGTACACGATGCACAGATATGCATGTATGCAAAAATACATATACAAATATAAAATAGAATACAATTAGTTTTTCCAAAATTACCTTTTTAGAATTTTGAAATGTTAGATCTTTCAGAGTTTCAGCATTCAAGATTATGGAGTTCGGGATTGTGTTGGGAGAGGGTAGTTTTTTCGTCAAATGTAATTTTCTTTAAATGTGTTCTTGTTATGTAGCCCTGGCTGGCTTAGAATCATAGCAATCCACCTGCCTTTGTCTCTCAGGTGCTATGACTGAAGGCATTTGCCACCACACCAGACCCAAAATGTACACACTTACATGCAAATTTCACCTTCTCCATTTGTAAAATTTAGTATGTCTTAGGGCTGTAAAGGTGGCAAAGCAGTTAAGAGCACTGTCTGCTCTTCCAAAGGACATGAATTCAAGTCCCAGTACACACATGGCTGCTCACAACCATCTGTAACCCTAGTTCCAGGAGAGCAGGTGCCCTCTTCTGACATCTATCTGCATTAGGCATACATGTACACCAGACACACACACATGCACATAAAAGAATAAAATGATTTTTTTAATTAAGTATACTTTTTTGTTTTTGGTTTTTCAAGACAGGGTTTCTCTGTGGCTTTGGAGGCTGTCTTGTAGACCAGGCTGGTCTCTAACAGAGATCTGCCTGCCTCTGCATCCCGAGTGCTAGAACTACAGGCATGTGCCACCACCACCCAGCTAATTAAGTATACTTTTAGTCTACTTTCTGTTTTTCCCTTTACCCTTTTCTTTGCCTTGAGGTTTATCTATTGAAGAGCCATGACAGTTCCATTGTAGAATTTCCCTGTCTAGGTTTGGGTGATCTATATCCCCCAAGTCTCTTCCTTTATCCTCTGTACTTTTTTGCAGATAGGCAGCTGCATTCAGAAACTTGAGTCAGGATCAGTCCTCTGGCAGGATTATAGGATAGCATCATGAGATTGGCAGTCACTCGCACATGGTATCCATGTCAATTCATGGGTGTTGCTCAAAGGTGATAGAAAATTTTTATCTTTTTTTGTTCCATATTTGCAGCATTTTTATAAACAATTCTTCACCCATCCCCACCTATTTCTAGTTATTCATGTCACTGACAAAGGGAAGTCAGGATAAATAACCAGTATTAATCTACAAAGGAGTATGTCTTTTCTGCCTATAACAATTATTACAAGTATGTGGATTTAAACTCAAAAAATCCCTTTCCAGCCCCTGCAGACATTAGCATCAGTGTGGCACTGCCTTTGGAGCAGCCTTAGTGTCCAGGCTAACATTCTGGCAAGTGTGGGATTCAATGACAGCAAGGAGACTGGGAGAGTGGGACTACCTTGCTGCCAGTCCTTATGACAGGAGAAAGCCCCTCTCAGTGAAGCCAGTTGCTGCTGCCTCTTCCAGCTGCTTCTCTGTGACCCTCTTTTCCTCCCCAGGTTTGGTCGGAAGAATGTGCTGTTTTTGACCATGGCCATACAAACTGGATTCAGCTTCCTACAGGTCTTCTCTGTGAACTTCGAGATGTTTACTGTGCTCTTTGTTCTTGTTGGCATGGGTCAGATCTCCAACTACGTGGCAGCATTTGTCCTGGGTATGGACATCAGGTTGGAGTTGAGTACTTGATCCTGTGTTTCACTTTACTGGAGACAGGTTATAATGTCCATCAGGGAAAATGGGCTAGATTTCCCTAGTAAATAAACCTAGCTTACCAGCTGAAATACTAAACCTGACTTCTGATGTCCAATTCTCTTCTGGCCTCTGACTGGTGGCCCCTTGGCTTATTAGTAATTAAGCCATTAACTGGGATTCACCATGGAGCACCCATTTTTAAGGCGTTAACTAGACAAGGGCTTAGGTAGCTAGTGGAGGAAAGAAGAGGGGATGGGCCACCATGGGAAGGCTCCCCAGGAGAGGGAGCTGCTGCAGAGCATTGGTGGCTATCAGTGTACACCAAGGAGAGTGAGGAATGGTCCAGTTCAGGATCTGGTCAGAATCCACCCTTCAAGGCTCTGACTCAGACAAGCCACCTCGTTCCCACCAGAAAGCTTCCAGTCTCTCTGTTGGGAATCAGATCACTGGGCTCCTTGGGTTGTATTGTGGAAAGGGTTATTATTTTCTTTTCACATTTACTAGAACATTTGTCCTCGAAGGACAATAGCTAGTATGTACAGCCTTAGTAATGCCTTTGCCTTTGGTGAATTCTTCCCCATATAAGGATTTACAGGACCTAACACTGTTTAGCATATGGCTAAGGATCCTGATGATGTTTTCATGACAGCACTGTTGCCTAGGGACCTTAGAGAAACACCCCAGGAGCAAAGCAAAGCAAATCAGACTTAGTTCATATCCGACCCCTCCAGGGACTCAAAACACAGTGAATTCTGGCTCCCTCCTTGTCTCTATGTTGAAAATTATACCACAGAAGATTTATAAGGTAATTGCCTTAACTGATGACTAACTTGACTCCTCTCTTCTTTTGAACAGGAACAGAAATTCTTTCCAAGTCAATTCGAATTATATTTGCCACCTTAGGAGTGTGCATATTTTATGCATTTGGCTTCATGGTGCTGCCTCTGTTTGCATACTTCATCAGAGACTGGAGGATGCTGCTGCTGGCACTCACTGTGCCAGGGGTGCTGTGTGGGGCTCTCTGGTGGTGAGTGTGGTCCAGCCCCTTGGGCTTTCTATCTGTGGGGTGGCTTCTGTCTGATGTCCAGTAGAGGGCAGAAGTAGCCACCAAATCCCTATCCTAGATCCCAGAAAAGGGTAGTGAATATTATTTATAAATCAGGTCAGAAAGATTCTCCATACTCAAAAAAGCCAAAACAACACAGAATCCCAAGACACAGCCTACTTGTCCTCTACCAGGTCTAGGTTGAACTAAGAATTTGTTGCAAGCAGATAGGAGCCAACCTAACCTCTGGGAAATTCTCAAATCCCAGGGTAAGACAACCAGACCTGGGCTGTAGCTGCATGATGCTGAGGCCCCAGGCATGGGTGTTAGTAGGTAAAGAGAGGGAGAGCTCCAGAAGTGATCTTCTTTGAGTAGCTATACAGAGGAATACAGGCTTCAGCCACACCTCCAACAGAGGGCCATTGGGCAGGTAGAGCATAGGCCCTTCTAAGCCATGGAACTTAACAGAGGAACCAGGCAAGAGTCACTCCTTACAATAGATTAGACTGAGGTGAGATCCTCATCCATGTACAGTGGCAAGAACCCTGAAGAATAGGGGGAGAAGAAGTTATAATGCATCATGGCTCCTGATTAGGACAGAGGAGAGAGGGCTGCACAAGGATAAGGTCACAAGGATAAGGAAAATATCCACTGAAACTCCATACACCAAGTCCCCAGCCTTGAGAACCATACTGTTTTGTGTAAAGAGACTGAAGAGACTATGACTAAATCAGAGGTGGAGTGAGGAGGAAATGATGTTAAGTGATCACTAAGGAGTTTCTGTGGATCTCAGAGACAGAATAAAGATAGCAGGATCTGGGTGTGCCTCACTCTCAGCAGGAGCCAGGCCCCAGGAGCCCATCTTGTGCTTGTCTCCTTAAAGCCCAGAAGAGGCCACCACTACTGCAGACAGGCAAGTGTCAGCCAGATGGGGATCTCTTTGGGATATACAGGATGCTTCAAGTTTTTCTGGCTACAGTTGGTGTTCAGCAGTGTCATACCTCAGGTGATTACTGGGCCATGATCACCTTATGAACACCTGACACTCCACACGCCTCCCTCTGCATCTGAAACCTCCTTTCCCATCTGTAGTTAAACATGTCCAGCCTCTGGGAAAGCAAATGAACAGGAGGCCTCACTAGATTGCACTTGTACTTCCAGGTTTATTCCTGAGTCCCCCCGATGGCTTATCTCTCAAGGCCGGATTAAAGAGGCAGAGGTGATCATCCGCAAAGCTGCCAAAACCAATGGGCTTGTTGCACCTTCCACTATCTTTGATCCAGATGAGGTAGGTACCATGTGGAAGCTGGGCTAAGGCTCACACTGGTCATTTTAGTCAGCGGCACAGAGCACAGTTCACAGGAACTCAGCCCTTACTCTACCCAAGCCCCAGCCATTCTTAGACAAGGTCTGTTTACAATGCAGAAGTTAAAGGAATGGAGAGATGATTCAGTCTGTAAAGTGTTTGACACACAAGCATGAGGACCTCAGTTCGGGTCCCAATAACCAACCAAAAAGCCAGGCATGGCAGAGTGTGCCCCTGATCCCAGCACTGGGGCAGCAGGGACAGAAGGACCCCAGGGTCGTATTGTCCAGCCAGCTAACCAGTCAATGAGAGATCCTGTCCTCAGTATGAGGTGAAAAAAAATGATTGAAGATGATGCCCTAGGTCAACCTCTAGCCTACATATACACACACATATACACACATATACACCCATATACACCCATGGACAGGAATATCCACAAACTTCAGAGGATGAGGAATGGGTCCCAACTACCTATTCTTTCTCTCCCCCATGAATTTTTTTTTACTTCTAAATTTTTTTTTTGTTTTGTTTTGTTTTGGTTTTTCGAGACAGGGTTTCTCTGTGTAGCTTTGGAGGCTGTCCTAGAACTTACTGTAGACCAAATTCGCCTTGAATTCAGAGATTCTCCTGTCTCTGCCTCCCAAGTGCTGGGATCAAAGGTGTGCACCATCACTGCCCAGCTTCTCACCTATTTTTAACCATTCCTTTTTTTTTTTTCTAAGAATCTCACTATATATAACACTAGCTGGAAATCTGGAAATCTTTGTGTAGACCTCAGACTCTCAAAGATCTGTCTCTGCCTCCAAAGGTTTGAGATTAAAGGGACATGCCACCATGCCTGACTTAATTATTACTTTTAATAGTAAAGACCCTTCATGAGAAATAGGCTTTTATCAACTTGAGTGTTTTTGGAAGTCATTGTTTCTTATGTTTTAGGGATTGTCATCTGAGGATTATTGGAACACTGGTAGATTTGCACTCAGCAGGGTTCTGTGTCTGTTCGCTCTCAGTTAGTTGTTATCCATCATCCTGGAACCAAGTCCATTCTGATACCTACCTCTTCCCTGTTCTGAGTAATTTTTTGGTTTTGTGTGGCTCCTGGTTCTTGCTTCCTGTTGTCTTTCCTCCCTTCTTCAGTAGCAGGCAGTTTTCAGATCCATGAGGTCAATACTACAGGTGTTGGCAGGCATGGATCTAGAATAAGTGTCTTGTTTGAGAAGACAAAGGACTGACTGAAGGACAACTGCCCACAGCCATGCTCAAGTGTAAGTGGCAGGCATGTTTGAGATGCTCTGGTTTCATGATGAGGACTTGGGGCTTGTGAGAGAAGAAGCAGTTATAAGTAGCTGAGAAGCTATTGGCCACAATAGCCCTGCTGGCATCTCCCTTAAATGGTGGCCCAACTGCAGCAATCACACAACATGTTCTAGAAGAACTCTGAAGCACAGAAGTCAAGGCTGGAATGTGAATGAGGTCATTTTTAAGTAAGGTGACTTTGGTGGCATTTTAAGTAAGGGGTCAGACTAGGTGAACCCATTAGCCTCATTGGCATCACTAAGGAAATGAGGGTGTTTCAGGATTTCTTTGAGTCTCAGGTTGACCTTTTGCTGAACTACTGTTTGGTTAAAAGCAAGCTCTCAATCTGGGTTAGTTGAGAAAGATCATCGGTGTGTTTAGACATGTGTTTTAGTGATGGCCTTGGCCCTGTGGAATCTCGTAGGAAGTTACTCCGGGTGAAGGACGGGTCAGTTTTCCTGTTTTCAATTTGAATATTTTTCTTCTGGAAGTAGACCAAAAACAACACAGTATGAGGACTCAAAACATTCATTCCACTTAAATGTCAGTTTAGCAAAAATACAGTCGCTTTTTTTTTTTTTTTTTTTTTTTTTTTTTTATCTCTGACCAATAGGGCAGGGAGTCAGCCTTGCATAGGAAACCTCAAAGGCTTCCCTGCAAAGTTCAGTGAGGATGGGCAGGGTAATGCAGTGAGGTGCCTGTCACTGGATGTCACCTAGACCTTTGCCATGCTCCTTTCTTTTTCAACCTTACTTCAGTTTGTCATTGACTGAGCCTGCATGGGTCCTTGGTCATTAAAAGTCACTGTAGTGTCTTTTCAAGGAATAACCTTAGAATGCTCCCTACTCTTGAGAAGTAGATAGTGAAAATGATGGATCCCAGGTGGTCTCCAACTCTTTCTCTTTCCTATATTATTAACTTTGTTCTTCCTGCAGTTACAAGACCTAAATTCCAAGAAGCCTCAGTCACACCACATTTATGATCTGATCCGAACCCGGAATATCAGGATCCTCACCATCATGTCTATAATCCTGTGGTGCGTAAGTGAGACAGACCTACCTGAGCCTCACCCACTCTCAGGACACTTTCTACAGACATTGCCTCAGACCAAAGCTGAAAACCTCTGCCATCACATGATGCAAGGGTTGCTCTTATGATGGATGGAGACACAGGGACATACATGACAGCTCTTGTGTAATGAAAACTCAGGAAAGGAGAAAGTGATCATAGAGCTTGTTTAGGACCTAGAGATTCCACAAGGGAGTCCCAAGGTCCTTGCTTAGTTGTTCCTGTCCCTTGTCGTCTCCCTCAGTAGATTATCTGTGGTAAATAGCCTGACAGCAACTCTAATGTGCTCATGAAGCAGAGTGAGCTCCCCTAAGGGGTCCACATTGTCTATCATTTGCACACGGCCCCTGCACTCACCCCCCATGCCTGGCTGTTTCCTCTTAAAAGTGTTCTGTGTTGAGGAATCACATTCTCTGGCTAGGACAGTTGGGGGTTTGAGGAAGGGTCTCAGTGAAGACACTTTATCATATAGGTTCCAGACACTGCTAATAGTTTTTTGGAAACATGAAAGTAGGATATGGCCCTTCTAGGATGTCCATAGACTGTCCTAAAGTCAAAGCCATAGCCTGGATGTTTCCACCAGGTTTGTTCCTACATGGTGATGCAGTTATCAGGAAAGAATTTCTGAGTTACCAGGGAAAAGGAAGAAAGCTGAGTGCTTGCATAGCTTCTGCCAGACCCTTGGGATATCAAAGATCCTTGACTCCACTGGATGAATGTGAGAAGATGGTGAGAAGGGTAGACTTCACCTCAAAGTCCTTGCTAAAAGGCTCAGCCAACTTTGGAGCAATAAGCTAGTCTGCTTCCTGGTTTGGGGTAGGGTTGGTCAGTGAGTCATCCATTTCCACGGAATTTTCCATTTCCAAGGAATTGTCCAGGATGCCTTAAAGGCAGTGGGGCACACCTGAATCTGCCTCAAGACAGGGCAAGCATGGAGACTGTACCTCAGACTTCCAGCCTGAGACATCTCACCTACTCTGAATCACCCATACTCTAATCATGCTTTAGATTTAGAGTTTCCTGGGGCTTGTGAGCCTACTCTCTTCCTTACTATGGCAACTGTGTTTTCAACCTGTATATGAGTCAAAGACATTCTGGTGCCAAAGAGTACAGCTCATCAACACAGAAACCTATTAGGATCAGAGCCAGGCATGGGAGTGGTGTGAATGAGAGACAGTGAGACCTCACCATTGGGAACTCCCTGTTCCAAAGCACAGTGGGGTTGCTGTCAGCCTCTTCCTGGCTGATTACATGTAGCCTGCTGAGGATCCTTCTCCAAATGTTTGAGCTGTATTTTACCTTAATCCCCCATTTCTGTCACACCTTACCCAGTCTGTTTACTCATTCTCTAGCTCCTGTTATATTTGCTGTGTTTGAAGAAGCATATAGAGCAGGGAATTGGATTTTAGCAAATGCTTCAGAGTAGTATTTTAATATTGAAATACAGGTTGGGACTTTCCTCCTAGTGATGAAGTCAGGGTGAACCATGTAAGCTCTTTTGATGAGACACTTTCTTATGGAATGTTCTGAAGGTTACTGACAAAAGGACTTACAGTGGTGACTGGGGCTAGAGAAAGTTAACTTTTGTAGTAGGAAGTAAGGCACAGGGTGAAATCTACTACTCCCCTCCATTCCCTGCATCAAGAGCAGTTCAGAACTTTTTCAGTGAATGTTTTGTAAGGTGTGTGGGTCTGGAGAGATGAGTGCCGCTTCTCCAGCTCTCTTCTGTCCCCCGTTGCAGGCTGACCATATCAGTGGGCTATTTTGGACTTTCTCTGGACACTCCTAACTTGCATGGGGACATCTATGTGAACAGCTTCCTTTCAGCGGCTGTTGAAGTCCCAGCCTATGTGTTGGCCTGGCTGTTGCTGCAGCACTTGCCCAGGAGATATTCCATCTCTGCTGCCCTCTTCCTGGGTGGCAGTGTACTTCTCTTCGTGCAGCTGGTGCCTTCAGGTACGGGCGAGGTTTATTTGCAGACTTATGTCTTCAGTGTGTAACTTGACTTGAACTGGGCTGTTTACAAAGAGAACATAGTCAGGCCTAGCCCATCTGTGCTGCATGTGTGTACTGCCTGTCTTAAAAATCAAGAAATGATGTCTCTCACAAAACAGGGGGGATGTGTGTGTGGGGTCTTCATAGCCTGGGCTTTGTGAGGATGCAGAAAGCCTTGGGCTTATTGGCTAATTATGCCCTTGACCCAAGTTAACATGTTCATATTTGGTTTCCTCTGTAGACTAAGGAAGAAGGAGAGTCACTCCCCAACTAGTTCTGTCTTATTTATTTACTCAAGCAATAGCTTGAGTGGGTCTTGATGGAGTCTATTTCTAGTAGAGAAGAGCCAGGTGTTAGTGGTGCACACCTTTAATCCCAGGACTCAGGAGACAGAAGCAGGCAGATCTCTGTAAGTTTGAGGCCAGCCTGGTCTACATAGCTAGTTCCAGGATAGCCAGGGCTGTTACACAGAGAAACCCTGTCTTGAAAACCCTAAAAAAGGCGGGGCTGGGGGTGGGGTGGGGGTGGGGAAAAGTTAATAAATGCTTGTTAATCTTCAGATGTTGTTACCTTCTGTGAATAGGAAGAAATGACATTAAAACTCATCTAAAGAGCAATCATGATAGCATCCTGAACAGAATTCAGGCGGATCTCAGAGTTCGAGGGCAGCTTGGTCTACAAAGTGAATTCTGGGACTGTTACAGTAGAAATGCTGTCTCGGGGAAAAAAAAAGAAAGAAAGAAAGAAAGAAAAGAAAGTCAGGAACATTTCAGAAGATTTTATAGAAAAGGGAAAGCTAGGCATGGAGGGTCACATCTGTAATCCCAGCACTTGGGTGGAGGATACAAGAGAATGAGAAGTTCAAGGTCATCCTTGGCTGTATGGGGAGTCTGACATCAGCCTGACCTATGATAGAACTCTGAGAGGGGATGAGCCCAGTGTGCTTCAGAGTAAAAAACAGGAACTAGTAAGTGATGAAGAGAGAGAAGCAAAAGAGAGGGAGAGCTCAGGCTATGGGAAGGACTTCGCTGTTAAAACTTCCTTGCCATCCCAGGAATAGATAGGAGGAACCCTTTCTGACACCCTGTGGAACAGATGACAAGCCTTATTTGTCCATCATTTGCCAGAATCATCCATGCCCCATGGCTTTTGGAACCTCTGGTGGTTACTTTGAGGACTGTGATACTGCATAGGAACATGGGCGTGGCTGTGGTGGCTCTCACCTGAGTAGAGTGACCATTGTGTCACTAGTTATACTCATTGGGCAGTGAAGTCGATTGGAGGATCATCCCTAAGTTCAGATGGTTTACAGACTTTTTTCAGTGACTTTAGTGCACTTATTTATTTGGAGGAGGGAGACATGTGTCCCAACACACACATGTAGAGGTCAGAGGACAACGTGCAGGAAGTGAGAGTCAGTTCTCTCTTTCCTGGGAATCAAACTCAAGTTCTCAGGCTTGACTGAAAGTGCCCTTACCCACTAAGCCACCTCAAAAGCCCAGAGTGGACTGCAAGCATGAACTCAGCTAGAGCTGAACTCCCCCCTTCATATACAAGTCCTTGGTTAACTCCACAGTACCCTCAGGATGAGATTCTGGGGAAGCAGCTCATCCCTAACCCAGGATGACTTCTGCAAGGCAGGCAGATTGGGATGAGATTCTGGGGAAGCAGCTCATCTCTAACTCAGGATGGCTTCTGGAAGACAGGCAGATTGGGCTGAAGGACACACATTGTCTGGGCCTCTAGGTTGAGGAGCACCTTTACCCTCACACAGCTGAAGTGCCCAGTCTCCTTTTAGTAATCCCCTTAGAAAGAAATCTAAGCCATGCTGTTTTCTTGTGATAGGAAGGTATAGAAACTGAACAACTCTCTCCACCCCAAATCTGGGAGAAAGTGAGTTGGTTTTAAGCTACAAGGAAAGAGAATTCCTCCAGGGCAACCCTTACACTAGTCCCTCTTGACTTTGCTGTCCTTCCTTTGTCTCTCCAGAATTGTTTTATTTGTCAACTGCCCTGGTGATGGTGGGCAAGTTTGGAATCACCTCTGCCTATTCCATGGTCTACGTGTACACAGCTGAGCTCTACCCCACTGTGGTGAGAAACATGGGTGTGGGGGTCAGCTCCACAGCATCCCGCCTTGGCAGCATCCTGTCTCCCTACTTTGTTTACCTTGGTGAGTACCATAGTGCACTGGTGCAATGGATGGGACAGAAGCTCTAAGTAGACTTCATGTGAGCTGGACACAAGTTAGCAGGATGCATCCCTTACTGGGACCCTGGATGGAGAAGAAGGCACACATTTCAAATGGAAAATAACTCATAGACCAACTAGATGAAGATGAGAAAGTGTGGGGCTTTCTGTTTCAGTCTCCCCAGATCCCTCCATTACAAACTACAATTTGTTCATCCTAAGAAATTCTTTGGAGACAGTGTTCTTTACTGAAGGAGTTTCTTCTTGAAGTTAGGAACATGAACAGAACCTGTCCATTCAAGAGGTCTAACTGATGGACTGGCAGTGACTATGACTTAGAACACTTCATGTATCCAGTATATGTATAGAGGTCAGAGGACAATTTAGGGGAGTCCTAAAATTATTCTTTCTTTCCCATGTGTGGATCCTGGGGCTCGAACTCAGGCCACCAGGTGTAGCAGCAAGCAATTTTACAAGCTGAGCTATCTTCTTGGCTCCCATTTTACTTTTCAAGACAGCTGCTCACTAAGTTGTGTGAACTGGGATTAAACTTGTTCTGTAGCCCTAGAAGCCCTTGAACTTTAGCTCCTCTTGTCTCTGCCTCCCCAGTAGGTGGCCTACAGGCCTCCATTGGCTCACATGACAGTGTGTTTTATGCCCTGTAAAGATCTGCTTTCTGACATTTCACTCCATTTGACTCCTGCCTGCAAGCTGCTCCTCTGCACATCCCTAGCTCTGACAAGGACCTGCCAGTGTCCTGAGAGTAGCAAGTACTCTGAAATGGTGGTATGTGGCTCTAATGGGCTGCAGCACCTTGTCTAACCTGAATGCAAATCAAACTGGGACAGAGCTGCAGAGGAGGAGAGTTGCTTTGTCCTGGATAAGGACCTTGTTTTCCCTGGGAACCCTGCAGTTTGGTGTCTCAGCTCCCCTATACATCTCTCTTGTCCGTTGTGGACACTGCTGGACCTCTGAGCACATGTGTGCCAGGTCTGAGTTCTAAGACTCTTTAGATGCCAGACTTTACTCTACCAGCCCAGGCCTAAGGAAACACTAAGACCAATAGGAAAGTGAGTCCTATATAGAGTCCTGAAGAAATAAAGGACCAGAAAGAAACCATGTCCCACTGTAACCTGGGTCCTCTCTTTGACTACAGGTGCCTATGACCGCTACCTGCCTTACATCCTCATGGGAAGTCTGACCATCCTGACAGCTATCCTTACCTTGTTCTTCCCAGAGAGCTTTGGTGTCCCTCTCCCAGACACCATCGACCAGATGCTAAGGATCAAAGGGTAAGAGACCTTCCTCCTAACACTGAATGCACAGGGTCTGGGTCTGGCTAGGTTTTAAGGGTCTGTACCTTAAAGTAGTGCTCTGTGCACAAAGTCTCACATATAACTGGACTACTTTAACCATGGTGCTATGAAGGCATTGGTCTGATCCTGTGTGAACAGGTGTCCATGTGCATGGACATGAAAGCCCCAGCTCTAGTTTACTACAAAGACTACAGGAAACTTCAGAATCTGCCATGTCCTCGTTTTTTCTCCAGATCTGCCTTGTTTGTTTTGACACTGATAGGCATCTTTATAAGATTTGTAAGTAACATTGTTTTGCTTGTTTTAATAGGATAAAACAATGGCAAAGCCAAAACCAGACAAGGATGCTAAAGGATGGTGAAGAAAGCCCAACAGTCCTAAAAAGCACAGCCTTTTAACCCTCCAGAAGGTGAAAAACTAAACAGACAACCTGCTTGTTGTCAGAAATGCTGTCAATGACCAGGGCTTTTCTGTTCTGTTGACCTTGTGTCTAATGTGCTCACGGATGGGTGCATCTATCCTGGAGAGCCACCTTCCTCTAGGGACATGAAGACACACAGACAGCTTGCACATCCATTCCGTGGGGGACTTGGAAGACTATGTGAAACAACTGCTAGACTGGTTTTGTTATTTTGGAAGACTGGTCAGGTTTCACAGATAGAACTGCAGGTCTGTTTCTCCCTCCTCTCCCTAACTAACTACAAACTCACAGGAAATGGAATAGATGTCACTCAGTGGCAGTGTGCTTGGCTAGGATGCACAGGGACCTGAGTTCCATACGAAGAACCAGAAGGAAACAAACAAAACTTCTTCAGAGAAGAATAAATGATTCCATGGGGAGTTTGATTTCTCACCTTTTCTAAGTTACAAAAATCCTTACCGTGATTGTTTTCACTCACAACAGAACACAAGACCTAGGGAAGTGCAGAGGAAAGGAAGGTGGGAGCAGGTGTGTAAAGTCAGCAGTGTGTGGATTGTGGCTGCTCAGGCCCACAGCCAGGAGTGCTGTGTGTGTCTGTCAGAGTCCTGGGCTTGTCCAGGCTGTGAGAAGTCACTGTTGAGGCTGAGCCCTGTCTTCCACTGCTGTGTAAATCAGACACTTACCTGTATCTTGAAGGGACTGTATGGGTGACAGAGTGCCCCTTCCTTCTCTCAGCACTGTCATGGGGGGGGGGGTTGTTTTGTTTGTCATCTGTTGTTGTATCTTCCACAGAGACTTGGGAACAGTGTTTCTCAGCCTGGAATTACCCCGGCTGGTGTGCAGTTGCCACCATGGAAGGGCAGTTGCATTTCCAAGCCTTAGCCACTGTCACTTCTCTGAGTGTCCAAAACAGCAACACTGTGTTCGTTCCTTTTACGATGTATAATCATGGGGAAAATTACAAGAAAGAAATGTAAATTGTGTTCACAGTCTCTGAGAGTTGCTGGCTGCAGTCACGTAACATCGGCAGGTGTTTTGTGTTGAGTGTGATTGTCTGCTCTTCTGATTATGTTGCCATGGTACTCCTAAAGCACACAATTCCCTACTTTAAAAAAAGAATGTATTTTGTGAAAGCTACTGAAGTGCCTTGGGCAATGAGATGGTTTTAATAAACAATGATTTTTTTTAAATAATAGCAAGTGACTGCAATCTTTTTTCTTAATATTTGATGGGCCCTTGCCATACTAGCATGTAACTCTTCTCTAGGCTAACTGTAGCAGTGATTCAGGGTTAATATTTAACCAGTACTATACTATATAGTAGGCATCTACCCAATTGACCATGAATTGCACCAGCCTGGGTCTCCCTGTTAACACCCTGAGCTTGGAGCTTCTGTACAGTTCCACACTCTACCTGAGAATAAGACACCGAGGAGCAGGAATGCAGAACAGGGAAGTTGGGAGGCCTGGCCCTGGTGTGCCTTACTGCTTGTGTTGGACGCACCACTGAAAGGCATAATACAGAGCAGCATATCTGGAAGATTCAGTCAGTTTCCCTCCCCTCAACCCAGGTCCTGATCTGGGTTCCTGGTGACATGCCTTCTCAGGAGCCCCAGAGTTCTGCAGTTCTCCCCACCATTTCTCCTGTGTAAGTCAACAGTTCCTACACTGGCTTTTATTCTTGGTGTCTGGTTCATGGCCTATTGAAGCAAACACTGTACTGCATGAATATCTTGAGCTCTGTGTATGTTTGGTGGGAGGGAGGCAACAGCCCAAGTCTCTTCTCCTAAAAGCCCTTACCCTCTGCACAAGCCTGCTGTACTTATATAGCCTGTTTCCTTTGAAGCGATGATTTCAGGAGGACGGGTCTTCAGGAGAGAGGTATGTGAATGATGAGTCTCTGAATGCCTGTGGTCATTAGGAGCTGGCATACATATAGACATGAAGAATGAGAAAAGATGGAGAAAAAAAAAATCTTTAAAAAAAAAAACTACAATCTCTCCACAGTTCAAGGTGAAGGCAAGGGTCCCAAGATGATGGAGGTGAAGCACATCTGCTACCTCATAATTTAGGATGCTGAGACAGGATCATAGGTTCAATCTGATCTCCTGCTGGCCGCCACAGGCAATAGACATATATGGTGCACATACATGCATGCAGACAAATACTCATATATATCAAATTAATCTTTTTGGTTTTAGGTTATTTTGTTTTTTGTTGTGTTTCTTGTGTTTGTTATTGTTTGTTTGTTTGTTTGTTTATCCAGACAGGGTTTCCATGTGTAACAGTCTTAATTGTCCTGGAACTTGCTCTATAGACTAGGCTGGCCTGGAACTCACAGAGATCCACCTGCCTCTGCCTCCTAAGTGCTGAGATTAAAGGTGTGAGCCACCATTGCCTGGCTCTTCGTTGTTGTTTTTTAAGACAGTTATGGCTATCCTGGAACTCACTATATAAACCAGGCTGGCCTTGAACTCACAGAGATCTGCCTCCTCTGCCCACCCCAAAAATTAAATTTAACCAACATTTAGAAGATAAATCATTCATCTAAAATGCTTGGTAATAATAAATTTGTGTTGACAATAAATAGCAACACTACTCTTTTCCTCCTTACCTTTCTCAACATAATGGTTGATTCCAAGGTAATTAGTACACCATTACCTGGCCATTCTCTCCCTTTACCATTATATAGATTCTGGGGATCAATTTCAGGTACCCAGGATTGCACATGCAAGAGACTTTACCCACTGAGCTATCTCATTGGTCCTTGGCAAATACATCAGAAATTTATTCCTTAATGAGAAGGCTGTCAGAAAAATGCTTCTGTGTGTGCTTGTGTGTTCTTGAGATTGAAGCCAGGGCCTAGAGCAGGTGCCTTACCAGGAACAATGCCCCTACTCCTAAAAATACATACATACATACATACATACATATTTTATATTAAATTAAGGTATATAATTAACTAATTAAAATATTTTAAATTCTTCATGTAACCCAAGATGCATTCTTTTTGCTTTTCATACAGCTCTAGATGATAGAAAAGCTTTATAAGACAAAACAAATTTCAGGAAAAACCATAAATCAAAATTTATATAAAGATTAGAAACCTCCCCAAAGTTAGGATTGAGGAAGGGTTTTTGTTTCTATCTTTTCTTGAAAACAAAGACAACCATTTTGAAGAATTTAAGACCTTTGGACAAATAAGCATCAAAGAAGGGAGAACTACCTGCAAAACATTACCAAGAAAAGAAATAATCTGACCTAATGTGATCTCTGAAGTCTCCAAAAAGAAGATGGAATCCCAGCTGGGTGGGGGTAAAACACACCTTTAATTCCACCACTTGGGAGGCAGAGGCAGTCTAATCTCAGTGGGTTTGAGGCCAGTCTGATCTACAAAGTGAGTTTCAGGACTGTTAAAACAGAGAAACCCTGTCTCAAACAAACCAAACAAAGAAAGAAAGAAAGAAAGAAAATGGAATCCCAAAATCACAATTTCACCAGGACTATGACATCACCATTAAACTGAACAACCCCAACTAAAGATCAACTTTGGACTACAAACTGTTCAGAACAATTTCAAAGAAGCTAGCTAAGATGATCCTGCCTCACAGACTACTCTAGCCAGGACTTGAGACAAGCCCTACACTTTCCCATTTTGCAGAGACTAGACAAAAATGATACAGCTTGACAGATAACCCAATTTTTTCTGTTCAAGATCCCCTAAAGATGCCATCACCCCCAGGCAGCAGGATATAACCTTCAGAACACAATGCCCACTTTCCCAAGAGGTGGGGTGGGTGGTTTGGGTCACACTTTGTCATTGTTTAGGAGAATTGGTTACAAAATATTGTTGGTTATAGTCAGGAAGAAAATTGAACAAAGGCTTAGATTCAAGGTTTTTGTCTTAAAAAAAAAAGAATATAGATATGATAGGATAAAAAGGATAGATTATTGACTCTACTCTGAAAAGAAAAAAGGGAGGATATAGAGATAAGATGAAAAGGTAGGTTATTGAATCTACTTTTAAAAAGCAACTACTAGTTTTAAATATTTTACATTGGATTGGATTTTGTATATTGTATACCAATTATGTATATTGATACAAGTTTGGGATTAATTTGTTTAAAACATACTGTACATATGTTTCTAATCTTGTTCAAGGTATTGTACCTATACAGCCCATTTAACAATATAATGTAAATTTCTAGTTCTTGAAAGTTATAATTACCGACTATATGAGGATAATAAGGAAATCTTGGTTAGTAATTAGTCAACCATTACAATCATACAAGGTCAAACAGAGATATATTTTAGATGGATAGATCATCTTAAAACACTCTAGAGACCTACAGAATATGGCATTTAAGATGTTATAATAACATAGTTTCTTTTTTTATGACAATGAGACATGTCTACTCCTGGCAGCACCAATCTACTTCAGAGAAGATGATGGGCATCAAAGAAACTCCACATGGAGTTTACTTTCCTTGAGGCAAAGTTAGCCACTGGACACGAAAGTGCCCTTGCTTCAACTGCTGACAGTCTGCTGTCCAAATTGGACAAATGGGACACAAAAGAGAGTGACTGTAAAACCTTACCAGGACAAGGAGGGACAGTCCTTCAGAAAATCATGTTTCACAGAAAAATCTGTCAGATATACTAGGACTATAGGTGAAGAGGAATGCCCCACCATTGCAGAAGAACCTTGGATGACTGTCCAGGAACCCAGCTGTTTTTATCATTTCTCACATTTTGGGGAAGTTGCTTGCTCGCTCTTCCTATTTATTCAATTTCCTTCCAGAGTCTCTGAGGGAATTGAAGACTAGATAGCTATAGTTTTCCTTGTTTACCAGACTCAGAAAGGAAACTCACTAAAGAAATGTATATAAAGTTGAGAGACAAAAAGATAATTTGATAGTGCATATTAGAATAGAAAATAAATTAGATACAAGACTCTGGACTCACCAAGATAGAACAGATAATGGAATATTTTCTCTGAATTTGTCAAATGCAAAAATGGACTAAATATGGTTGATGAATTTATTACCCATATATATTGGATGTATTTATTGTACTTATTGTATATAGTTTTTCTTATGTTAGTTATAGCCTTCCTCTTTTTTGTATTAGACAAAAAAAGGGGGGAGGGAA